CCTGGTGGCGCAGTGGTTGAGAGTCCTCCTGCCGATGCAGGGGATGCACGTTCGTGCCCCGGTCTAGGAAGATCCCACGTGGCGCGGAGCGGCTGGGCCCGTGAGCCATGGCCGCTAAGCCTGCGTGTCCAGAGCCTGTGCTCCGCAACGGGAGAGGCCACAGCAGTGAGAGGCCCGCGTACCGCAAAAACAAACAAACAAACAAAAATGGGCAGAAGACCTAAATAGACATTTCTCTAATGAAGACATACAGATGGCCAAGAAGCACATGAAAAGCTGCTCAACATCACTAATTACTAGAGAAATGCAAATCAAAACTACAATGAGGTATCACCTCACACCAGTTAGAATGGGAATCATCAGAAAATCTACAAACAACAAATGCTGGAGAGGGTGTGGAGAAAGGGGAACCTTCTTGCACTGTTGGTGGGAATGTAAATTGATACAGCCACTATGGAGAACAGTATGGAGGTTCCTTAAAAAACTAAAAATAGAATTACCATATGATCCAGCAATCCCACTACTGGGCATATACCCAGAGAACATCATAATTCAAAAAGACACATGCACCCCAATGTTCACTGCAGCACTATTTACAACAGCCAGGTCATGGAAGCAACCTAAATGCCCATCGACAGATGAATGGATAAAGAAGGTGTGGTACATATATACAATGGAATATTACTCAGCCATAAAAAGGAATGAAATTGGGTCATTTGTTGAGATGTGGATTGGGATTGACATGTATACACTGATGTGTATAAAACTGATGACTAATAAGAAGCTGCTGTATAAAAAAAAATTTTTTTAATAAAATAAACAAACCAAAAAAAACATACTTTGCAACCTAAGTGTCCATCGACAGATGAATGGATAAATAAGATGTGGCACATATATACAATGGAATATTACTCAGCCATAAAGAGGAACGAAATTGAGTTATTTGTAGTGAGGTGGATGGACCTAGAGTCTGTCATACAGAGTGAAGTAAGTCAGAAAGAGAAAAACAAATATCATATGCTAACACATATATATGGAATCTAAAAAAAAAAAATGGGTCTGAAGAACCTAGGGGCAGGGCAGGTATAAAGACACAGACGTAGAGAATGGACTTGAGGACACGGGAGGGGGAAGGGGAAGCTGGGACGAAGTGAGAACAGCACTGACACATATACACTACCAAATGTAAAATAGATAGCTAGTGGGAAGCAGCCGCATAGCACAGGGAGATCAGCTTTGTGACCACCTAGAGGGGTGGGATAGGGAGGGTGGGAGGGGGATGCAAGAGGGAGGAGATATGGGGATATATGTATACATATAGCTGATTCACTTTGTTATACAGCAGAAACTAACACAACATTGTAAAGCAATTATACTCCAGTAAAGATGTTAAAAATATATATATATACATATATATGTATAAAACATACTTCTCAGGGACATGACTAGTCTAAACAATGCTAAATTACAATTTTAGTAATTCAGATATTTTATTTTTATGCCTCCATAACAAATACCTCATTTAGAAGAAGAAGAATGCTATGATTCTGATACCAAGCACCTATCTGTCCACTGGGATTTTTATCATGAGACTTGGTGGTGAGATTAACCCAAGGCTGACTAGGTTTAGGCCTCCTAAAAAGCATATTCGACACTAGTTATATCTCCTCCTTTTCCTACAAACATCACAGAAAGCCAGATGAATTTTCACTGATGCAGCCATTAAATGCTATCCCACTTACAATATGATAAAGATTATGACTCCTCATTTGAAAGTTGATAGAGTATTAAATCGTAAAATGAAATGTGCGGAAAAGGAGAAAAGCACTAAATACTTTTGTCTTACCTGTGACATATTTAAAATTTTCAGAGTGAAATTTTCTAATCCTGTCACATTTCTCTCCTCGCAGTTCACCTTCGGGGATTTCAGACTTTCGGTGGTGTTGGCACCCTCTGTCGGCGGGGGGTCAGACTCCACCACTTCAGGCTCTGCGTAGTACTCCTCTTCTCTCTCCGGGAAGCTGGCTCCAGCGCTGTCCAGAGAGAAGAGGCTCTCCCGGGGGTTGCACCTCGAGTCCTCCTCCCCTCCAGCCCCGCAGGTGCCGCTGCTGGGCTCTGGGCTCAGTTTGTCCTCGGCTTCCCCAGGAATCACAGACAACATTACCATGTGTTCACCATCAGCGTCCAGCCCCAGCACTGCCTCGGCCTCTTCTGCAGCCAGGTCCTGGCCCACTGGGTCACGGGAAGGCACCTCCTCACTCATGTACCCAGCCCCCACCTGGAATGGGTAAGCAGGCTGCTCCTCTGACCATAAGTGACCTCTTTTCTCTGCAACTAAAACATGCCACTATGTTCACAGTCACATCTAACTTCAAAATAAATGAATCCCAAAGAATTACAGTTCTCAAATATGAAATTTTCCCCTCCAGAGTAAAAAGTTACCTTCCCATTAAACTATCACAGAGCCACCCATCATTCTCCAGGTCATGAAGAAGATCACAAGGAGATACTAGATTAATGAATGCCAGGAAGTGGACAAACACATAGCTTCATGCAAAACCTGCTGCTTGTCATGCGGATTACAAGCAAAAACATTCCACTGCAGACATCCAATTAGGAAAATATAATACAAACACTTTAACAATTTAGTTTCTTTGATGAGACTATCCAAGAAAATAATGACGGCTTTATGGAAGATTCTACCATGGCAAAGCATCTTTGCACCCATTATAACAGCTCTGTGAGATGGGCAGCACAAGGGTTATCATCCCGACTTAATAGATGAGGTACAGAGAGGTTCAGTGTAATGCCCAATGGCACACAGCCAGTAAGCAGCAGAGCCACGTCTAAGAGCGAAGTCTACTGACTGCTACTCCAGAGCGGGCCTTACCCTCCCCACATGATACCTCGGAGGGCTGCTGGGCAACGCTGCCCGAAGAATGCTACTAGAGCCAGCTCCTTCCCGGGGTGGCCTCTACAGCTGGCCTCTGCTCTCCTGCCTGCTGCCCTTGGGCTACTGCCCTCAGGAGTGCTAACGGTGCACCAAGCAGAGCAGGGGCAGCAGCAGGGAGAAGAGGAGGAGGATTTTCCTCTCACTTTGGAGCCATTAGATGCGGCTTGGGCCAAAGGTTCAGGCAAGGGGAGAGTCCTGGGCAGTCTCATACATCCATCCAGCAAGCTCCACTCACCTCTGTACAATGACTCCTGCCCTCCACCTCTCATGACCTCAACGACAGCCGCCAGACTCCGGGCCAGGCACTGACCAGGGGAAACGAATGGGCCCAGCTGCACTCAGACAAGCCCACCATATGGCTGGGGAGCCACCAGCTGTATAATGAGCTCTGCATGCAAACAGCGTGTCTAGCAGAGTGTGAATGACCAACTGGCTTCAAAGCCGGGGAGGGATCTGGGAACTTCCTAAGGTATGCACATTTGTATAACGTCTCAAAGAATATCTCCACAGATGTTTGCAGATTCATTCAGCAATTCAAAAACACTCTCTGGGAATTTGCTTCAGGCTAAGTGGAATAATGGGAACCAGATTTATTCTCCCTCCTGAAACAACCCAAAAAACAGCCAAATATGTGAAACAACAGTTTCAGGAGACTAGCAATGAGACAACGAAGGACAGTGAACAGGAAGCAGATGAGAAGAGCCCTACAAATGCTCTAGCTTACTGCCTGAGAGAGTTCCTGCCCTGTCTCAGGAAGGGCCCAGCTGACTTCTCCAGTTGAGATGGAACTGAGGGTCCAGAAAGACCAAGAAGCTAGAGTTTGCAGGACAGAATACTGGAGATGGGAGAGCTGCAGAAAGAGGACTCTGGAGATCTGTGGAGGGGGCCCCGCCTTGAGTATACTGGTCAGCATATGCCTGTAAGTGAACTACCCCAAGCCAGGGAAAGAACCACTCAAAGGGATTAGCGGTAACAGTACCCAACAGCCACAGAAAGCTGGGAATAGTACCTGTCCCCACCCACTAGCCTGGGAAACCTCCTAAGTCACAGGGTACTGGGGAGAGTACGCGAAAGGGACTTGCCTCAGCAGTGGGGCCCAATTAACCCTAAAGTAAATACAGCTCTGCTTCCATCTAGCAATCCTTAAAAGTGAGAATCACACTGTGTTCAAGTAACTTAACTGTATCCCAGAACAAAGCTCAAGAATATTTACAGGAATACTAAAATATCTAGCACTCAACCAGGTAAAATTTACTTCTGGCATCCAATCAAAGATTACCAGGCATGCAAAGAAGCAGGGAAATTCTCCTCATTATCCATAACGAGAATAAGCAACCAAACCTGACCCAGAACTTGCACAGATTTCAGAATCATTAGATGAGGCTGTCAAAACAGCAATAACTGCATCACATATGTTTAAAAAGTTAAGTAGATATAGAGAACATAAGACATAAAAAGAGACCCAAATCAAAATGCAAATCAAAACCACAATGAGATATCACCTCACACATGTTAGAATGGCTATTATCAAAAAGACAAGAAATGACAAATGTTGGTATGCATGCAGACAAAGGGGAACCCTTGTGCACTATCAGTGAAAATGTAAATTGGTGCAGCCACTAAGGAAAACAGTATGGAAGTTCCTCAAAAAATAAAAAATAGAACTACCATATGATCCAGCAATTCCACTTCTGGGCATTTATCCAAAGAAAATGAAAACACTCACTTGAAAAGGTACATGTACCCCCATGTTCACTGCAGCATTATTTACATAAGTCAAGACATGGAAGCAATTGATGGATGCATAGATAAAGAAAATGTGAGATATATACATATATTTGTATATGTATATGTGTGTATATATATATGTATATATGTATATGTGTATATATATGTATATATATATAAAAAGTATTATTCGGCCATTTAAAAACAGGAAATCTTGCCATTTACGACAACATGGACAGACCTTGAGGGCATTATGCTAAGTGAAATAAATCAGAGAAGGACAAATACTGTATTATCTCACTTAAATGTGGAATCTAAAAACAAACAAACAGGGCTTCCCTGGTGGCGCAGTGGTTGAGAGTCCACCTGTCAATGCAGGGGACATGGGTTCATGCCCCAGTCTGGGAACATCCCACATGCCGCGGAGCGGCTAGGCCCGTGAGCCATGGCCGCTGAGCCTGCGCGTCCGGAGCCTGTGCTCCACAACGGGAGAGGCCCCAACAGTGAGAGGCCCGCATACCGCAAAAAACAACAACAACAACAACAAAAACTCCACAAGCTCATACAGAAAACAGCTTGGTGGTTGACAGAGGTGGTGGGTAGGGGGTGGGCAAAATGGGTGAAGATGGTCAAAAAGTACAAACTTCCAGTTATAAAATAAGTGAGTCATGGGGATATAATGCACAGCATGGTAACTATAGTTAATTATACTATATTGTATATCTGAAAGTTGCTAAGAGGGTAGTAAACCTTAAAAGGTCTCATCCAAAGAAAAGAATTTTATAACTGTGTGTGATGATGGATTTTAACCAGACTTATTGTGGTGATCATTTTACAATATATATACATCAGATGATTGTGTTGTACAACTGAAACTACTATAATGTTATATATAAATTATATCTCAATAATAATTTTTTAAAAGACCCAAATTATACTTCTAGCAATGAAAATTACAAGGTCAGAGATGAAAACTGCACTGGATGGGATTCATAGTAGATTAGACATTACAGAAGAAAAGAGTAGTTAACTTAAGGCATAGCAATAGAACCCATACAAAATGAAACACACAATGAGAAAACGAATCCCCCCCCAAATGAAGAGTGACAGTGAGCTGTGGGGCAATTTCAAGTGGTCTCATGTACAGATAATTGGAGTACCCAAAAGAGAGAAGTAAATGGGGGAAAACACAAAAAGTAATTGAAGAAACAATCACCGAAAACTTTACAAACCTGATGAAAACTATAAATCCATAGATCCAAGAAGCTCAACAAACTACACCAAGATACATCATAATCAAACTGATCAAAACCAGTGACAGAGAAAAACTCTTAAAAGCAGACGGAGAAAAAAGACATGCTATGTATAGAGGAACAAAGATAAGGATGACAGCAGATTTCTCATTGGAAACAATGCAAGCAAGAAGAACAGCATCTTTAAGGGACTGAAAGGAAAAAAACTATAAACCTAGAATTCTATACCCAGCAAAAATGTCTTTCAAAATCAAAGGCAAAATAAATACGTTTTCAGACACACAAAAGCTGAAACAATTCATAACCAGCAGACCTACATGACAAGAATCTGAAATGAACTTCTTCGGGCAATAGAAAAATGATACCAGATGGAAATGTGGATCCACACAAAAGAATGAAGAGCACCAGAAATGGTAACTACATAAATAAATATATACAATTCTTTCTGAAAGTCTAGCTCTGAAGGGGAAAAGAAAGACCCGGTAGTTGTTACGGGCAGGCAGGGGGCTAAGAGAAATTTTCGTTTTGGTTTTCAGGACACAGGAGAAATTTAAGGATATATAAAGCTCATGGGAAAGTGAGTAAGCAGGGAGAGGTGACAATACAGGTTAGAGAGGGCAGAGTACAGGGCTTGAGAAGCAAGATAGGTCCTTGACAGAAGAGGGTCAAGCACTTCTTTGCCTATGACCTAGAAAAGGGGCTGGGTGCCTGGGCAAGGAGCTCTGTCAATGGGGTGCGGATGGCAGTCCTTCTGTAGCCTTTGGTTGATAAACATGTACTACTTGTATAATCATAAGTAAAAACAAACAAACATGTTTACTAGATCGTTCTCAAGACAGAGCAGAAAATGAAGCCAGAGAGGCTAAAAGTCTGGAGAAGAACAAAGGGTGCCAGATTTGGGAACCAACTCTACTCCCAAATGCACCAGTTCTGCAGAGATCTTCTCTCTCTGAACCTAATCAACATTCTAGGTCCTCTAAAGTAAATGGAGAATGCCAATATCCTAAAAGAATCTCAAGAGAAAAAAGTCAGCGCACAAAATAGAATCTGGTTCTTCTGATCCCCTTTATGTAAAACTGGATAGATGTCCCTTACAGAAAATCAAAAGGAAGTCTGAGTGATGCAGAGAGCTAGAATTTTGAGTCAGGAGTGTTGTTTTTCCCTCCTGTGAAGATATTTAAGTAGGACAAATTGGGAACAAAACAAAAATTCTCACACCCTCAGGTACCATTTTTTTCATTTAAGCATTGGGAAGAAAGGAAACATTGAATTATTCCACTCTAAGAAATGACCTACCGTGTGAGAGCCACTGAACCCTCCCATGGTAATGCGCCTTTTAAAAAAGATTGCTTCTCAATGTCAATAATCTGATTATAGTTTGAGCCATGCATAAAGTGGAAATTACTGCACTACTGGCAGCAAGGAATATGTTTGGAGAACAGGGGCGAGGGCACCACTCCAACTCTGCCAAGGAGCTCCTTCATACCCTTCCAGTTGTTCTCAGAAGACTCTCTACCAGCCACAGGTTTTTGTTCATAATGGCTTCTGTGTCAGGGGAGCCAACTGGGGAGGACCAAAAACAGCTGGGGGTTAGAGGGGCAGCAACCCGTACTTTCCATAGGAAATTTTCAGTGTGTGCATCTAACAAATGGAGAAAATACCACTGAAATGCAGACACTCATAGGGCTACCATGCAGATTAAATGAGAAAAGACGTATATGGTCCCTGGCACATGGTAAGCACTCCATAAATGGCTACAGTGATGGTGGTGATGATGATAATGGTTATGACTGACGCTTACAATTCAAAGAGATGGACGGAAACCACAACTAGGTCCTATTAATTCCTCTGCTAAATACACTCTGGGTCCATCCACTTCTCCCAACCCACTCACACCCCTCAGCCCAGGCCACAGTCATCTCTCACTTGGACAACTGCTGCAACCACCAAAATGGTCTTCCTGGTTGGCCCTCTACCCCTCTCCAAACCCTCCTCACAGCATCCAAGTGAAACTGAAAGTCAAAGGCAAATGTGATCATGTCACTCCCCTGCTAAAACCCTTTCAATGGCTTCCCCCTACGCTGTGCATGAATCCATGCTCTGTAGCATGACTACCAGGCCACAGGTGATAAGGCCTCTGTCCATACTCCCAACAGGTGCCACTAGACATCTCTGGTCCCTGATCACTCACACCCTCCTCCCCCTACCTCAGAACTGTCCTGAGGGCTGTTTCTCTGCCAAGAGCCCTCCCTCCACTCCCTCTCTTCTTCTGGCTAATCTGACACATCCTTCAGATCTCACCCTAAACTTCACCTCTGGAAGGTGAACTTCACCCTCCTAGACCCTCATACCAGAAGGGTCTCCCATTACAGCATTCCATAATGCCCTGGGACTCTCCTTGAAGCATTTTCCACTCTTGTGGAAAATTTACTTAATTATTTGTGGTCATTTAATGCCTGCCTTCCCCATCAGACAGGAGGGTGGGCGTATTTCTCTACTTGCTCTCCACTGCACCCAGAGTGCCTAACAGAGCATATGGCATATGACAGGTGCTCAGTCAGAATCTGCTAGTTGACTGTCTAGTGAAGACAGGTGTGGGGTGTTGAAGTCCAGGGTTGGCACCCGTTCCTTGACACCTGGACAGCACTGCCACCTCCAGTTGCTAATTTGCCAGTGGTATCCTCTGCAGAGAAAAAGCCTTGGATTTTCAGCCACCCCCAAAAGGAACCAGCTGGTGAAGATTCCTCAGTCCTCACCCCATTCATGGCCTGGCCATGATGACCAGTGACCCACCCCATGGCTGGTGTTACCCTCAGGTCTGTATGACGTGACCCTCCCTGCCAGGAAGGCTCACACTGACTGCCGAATCAGCCAGTGTTCTGCCAGGAAACAGCACGTGCAACTTGGACAATTGGAGGAGAACTTAATAAAGGTACCTCCAACATGTGAGCTGGGTGTAGAGAAACCAAAAGCAATGGTAAGGAATCCCAGGGTCAATAACAGCAGAGGGGGAGCCAGTTACCACTCATAGACCTTAAGAGTCCAGAGGCAGAAGCCTTGAAACAGAGAGTACAACCTTCTAGAAGCCCTAACTTTCAGTGGAGGGACACAGCCAAACTGCGATATCCCCAAGGGAGGGAGCTTAGAGAATCAATAACCTGACCTCACTCTCCCTTCATGCCAACACAACAGAAGCCAGAAGACAGAAGAGCCAGTTGTTTATTCCATACAGGACAGCTACTCAGGGCACAGAGCAGGGTGGAGAAGGCTGAAGAATGATCTGAGAGACATGTCCCCTCTCTGAGGCTGGTGGTTAAGTGTAGCGACAGAGAAGTGTAGTACAGAGCTTTGACTGTGAGGTCAGGCAGACAGAGGCTTGAATTGTAGCTTCTCAACTTCTGCTGTTGGACCTTGGTAAAAGACTTAGGGGATGCTGAGTCTCAGTTTACTCATCTATCAAATGGGGACAATAACAACATACATTTCATAAGCATTTAAAGACTAAATAAGATGATGCTCAAAAAGCACTAAGCACACTGCCTGGCAGATAATGAGTGTTTTCATTACTTTTCATTACTCAGCAAGCTGGCTGCCCTGCCTCTTTCCAGGACACGGCAGGGAAAGGAAAGATCTGTGTATTCCTGTTAAGTTTTGAATGACAAGAAAGGCCAAAGGGTCTGGACTTTAATAGGGCTCTGCGCAGTAGGGCGAAGAAACAATGGGAATAAGGCCTCCACTCCTGGGCCCAGCCATGCCTCCAGGTGGCTGCCTTCCCCACGGAGGGACCCTGAGAGCATGCTCTGGCAAGCAGCAAGTTACCCTGGGATCTGCTGTGTTTTTCTCATCTGTCCTTCACAGGCACCTGAGCAAGAGTGACCTTCTTACGAAAGTGGTCCAGCAGGGTGCAAAGTAAAGCGTGGGCTTTGCAGTCAGAGATACAGGCTCTGCCAATTACCAGAATCGCAAACGTAGGCAGATTACTTAGCCTCTCTGAGCTCAACATCTTCATCTGTAAAACACGGATGCTCACGGAATCTATCTCACAGAATCGGTGGGAGGGCTAAATAAGATAATGATAGCACTGTGCACAGTTCCTGGCTCCTAATAAGGGCACCATAGAGGTCGGCTATTCGTTATGATGATTATCATTAATAATGAAGTGCTCAGCACATGGGGGTATGCCTCAGTAAACGCTAATACACGGTTCCTCTCCACTGAGTCACCTGCTCAGGGGCCTGAACATGGCCCGGGCATCCCGCCCCGCCGGCCCCTACCCCGGACCGCGAGCGGGGACCACCGGGGGAAGGAGGTCGGGATAACCCGGGGAGACGCGCTCTAGGGGGCGCCAGGAAGAGGTGAGGCGCGCAGCGCGGGCCTTCGCGCAGGTAAAAGAGCGTCGCCCGGGTAGACAGCCACCTCGCCGGTCATTACACGCACAGCCGCCCGCGCCGCCGCCCACGGCCCCAGCCCGCACTCACCCTCCTGGCCGCGGGCGGGAGGCCCCAGCACCCACAGCAGTACCTGCCACCAGCCAAGGAGCCGCATGGTGCGCGGCGGGCAGCGGCCGCACCACCCAGGCCGAAGGGCAACCGGCGTACAGCGACGCGAGTCGCGCTCCTTGCCGGAGGAAAGCTTGAGGAGGAGAGCTCGGGAGCGCGGGGCGCGGCCCCGCGCCGCCATCTTGGCAGCTGGCAGCTGCCGCGGGCGCCATCTTGGAGCCGGGCGGCCGCCTCTCGTCTCTGACCTGTGCCGTGGGACTCGGGGCTGTTTGGGAGCCAAGCGCCCGCCATCTCAGATCGTTTCGAAGTTTCCTGACCCTCAGGTCCTGGGCGAGGTTCCGGCAGAGGCCTGTTGCCCTCTTTCTTCACCCGGCAGTCGGGGCCGGGCGGCCGGCAGCAAGCCCTGCGCCCGCCCAGCGCTTCGTTCCCGGGCCAGAAAGGCCCGGAAGCGTCCTCCTGGAGTGCCCCATCCAGGGTCAGATCCCTTTCCTCATCCATATTATCCTTCCCAGGTTGCCAGATAAAACACAGGATGCCCAGTTAAATTTGAATTTCACATAAACAACGAATAATTTTTACTATAAGAGACCGACCGAGGCTGGGCTGCGGCAGTTTTGCTATAGTAAATTTTCTAGTGGTTCCAGGAGGATCTGACACAGTGGACAACATGGGTGGAAAGAGCCCACGTTCTTGATCACCGCATTCATCTTTTGGCCAACAACCTCCCTCTCCCCCAACAGTGTAGTAGCAAATATTTTCTTCTTTAAATTATTCTCTCCCATACCCTCCATACTGGTTTTGAAGGGCATGATAAAGCCAATGGGGCAGAGGATTAAGGGGATTTAGGCTTAATGAAAAGGAGGCTGATTTGACTCATCTGGACACTCCAACGTGGATGCTCTGTGGTTACAATTCCTTCCTTTTTGTTATGTCCTTTTCCCTCTCTGTGTTTGTGTTTTGGTTGTTTGTTTGGACAGATGCACTTACAGATGTTAGACTGTTGCCTTTCGATAAATACTATATATACACTCTGATGGAAACTCAATACAGCCAACAGAATAGAATGCGAATTTGACTGTCTCGCCACCAGGTGGCACATGAACTTATTTGCAGTGAGAAAATTGCATTCAGGTTTGAAACTTTGATTTTACTTTCGTTTCTAGGGGGTAAAAAAGTTGACATCATCCTCTTCCTTTGGCTGAGATGAACTCTATGCACCAACACCATACAGCCCGGGGATTGTTCATACAAGAAGCTGATAATAATTGGAATTGTTCTTCACAGCTACACACCTGCACTCCTGGTTTTTGTCTCCCCTGATAGGTTTGCATAAATTTTTTTAATCTATTGAGTCATGAGGACCTCTTTGTCTCTCTCCCTCCCTCTCTCTCAACAGACAAGTATTTACTTTCATTTAGATCACTGTGGCAAAGTGTATTTTCCAAAGCTTGCCACAAAAATATTCCCCATCCCACATGCTGCTGTGCAACGTAATTTTGCCACTGGCCCATCAATAGGTAGAATCTAATTCCCCTCCCCTTGAATCTGGGTGGTCCTGTGATTCACATATAACCAAGAGAATGTGGCAGTGTATGAAATGATCCTGTATGACTTCTGAGGCGACACAGCTTTATCCTTTTTTGCTGGAAGGTTTGCACAGGCGTTCTGAGCCACGAAGTAAGTACATGGACTGTCCTGAGGCTGTATGCTCTGAGGAAGTTCAAACTAGCTTGCATAGGGAAGCCGTGACACTTCAAGAAGAGAGATGCCCACCATCACCAGCTGAGCCTGGCCCCATTCTGTTGCAGCTTCGGCAACCATTGGACTACTACTGCCTGAGAGTCCATAGCCAGAGATGCACAGCTTGAGCTGTTTCCAAATTCCTGACCCACAGAAACAGAAATTTTTTAAATGTCATTTTAAAAATGGTTCTGAAGAACATAGGGGCAGGACAGGAATAAACATGCAGACGTAGAGAATGGACTTGAGGACAAAGGGAGGGGGAAGGGTAAGCTGGGACGAAGTGAGAGAGTGGCATGGACTTATATATACTACCAAATGTAAAATAGATAGCTAGTGGGAAGCAGCCGCATAGCACAGGGAGATCAGGTCGGCGCTTTGTGTCCACCTAGAGGGGTGGGAGGGAGACACAAGAGAGAAGGGGATATGGGGATATGTGTATATGTATGGCTGATTCACTTTCTTATAAAGCAGAAGCTAACGCACCATTGTAGAGCAATTATACTCCAATAAAGATGTTGAAAACAATTGCTATTTTAAGTCACTAAGTTTTTGGTGATTTTTTAAATAGAATAGATAACTGGATTGTGTTATTCTGTAATGTAATACCTTTAATCTGAAGAGGATATTTAATTAATTTAATAAATCAATACTTTGGGCATGTATTCACATAGTTATTCTTCCAAGCTCCTTTCCTGTCTTTATCATTTTAATTTTGTATTTTGATGGACTTAAGATGACCCAATGTACTCATTATTATTTCATCAATACTGGATATGCTTTGCAGTTATAACAAAAGGAGATTAAACTAAGCTCCTTCAATAATTAAGTAGCCTCCCAAGATATTTAAGAGACTTGTGTCCTGAAGCACAAGGTAGATCAGGCAATGTATAGTAGTTAAGAAAACTCTAAAAAAATCACAGGTCATACCCTAAGTTTCATTCCTAATCAAAACCATGCTTTACTTTGATGTACATGAGATGCTACCTGGTATAATCACAAGTATAAACCTCAACTGTAAAACAAGGAGACCTCTGCATTTCTTTATTTTTTTTAACTTTTTTTTTTAATTTATTTATTTTTTTTGGCTGCACTGGGTCTTCGTTGCTGTGCGCGGGCTTTCTCTAGTTGCGAAGAGCAGGGGCTACTCTTCGTTGCGGTGCGCGGGCTTCTCATTGCAGTGGCTTCTCGTGTTGCGGAGCACGGGCTCTAGAGCGCAGGCTCAGTAGTTGTGGGTGGCGCAGGGGCTTAGTTGCTCCGCGGCATGTGGGATCTTCCTGGACCAGGGCTCGAACCCCTGTCCCCTGCACTGGCAGGCAGATTCTTAACCACTGCTCCACCAGGGAAGCCCGACCTCTACATTTCTGATCTGGGTATTAAGCCTTTGGCATTTATGATTTCACTCAGATGGCTTTCTCCCAGAGATACCATCCTTATTTGACTCATTAGGAAACTAAAGCCAGAGAAAATGGCTCAGTGTCACATAGGGAGTTTCTGACAGAGCTGAAGCTACAATATCAATCTGAATTCAAAACTTTTTACACTGATATACAACCAGTAACCCGTTTCAAATGTTATCACACTGTTAACCAATACTTCATAATAGCTTGTGTAATAAATATTAGATTTAACTAAATTGATTGTGTTTAAAAGCTAATGAGAAGGATCCTACTGAGAGAGGTTTCAGACACAGGAGAGAGGATAATTTCTGAGGAAAAAGTACGGTGGGATCCAAAGAGGGATAAACTAGAGACAGTAAGAGGAATATTTCCTCCATTGTAATAGGAGGAAAGAATGAATGCAGATAAGCTATTTTCTCTGTCAAGAAGAAAGGTGGTCTGCTGAGAGAGAGCATGTGGTGATCTAAGTATCTAAGGAGAGTGGAGACTGGAAATCTGAAATAACCTGAATAAAGAATGGCATGAGAGCTGACTAAGGATACTACTGAGATAGTGTTGAGGATCCAGCTGTGGTTGCAAAGCAGGAATTTATAGTGGCAAATGGCACAGTTAAGCATTTTTCTCCAATAGCATTTAGCAGCTCTGGAGTAAAAGGGAACCAAAATTAGCCCAGAGTTAGTGTTTTGCCAGGCTTGCATGATGGAAAGTCCGCGGCGGGGGGGTAGGAGGGAGTTAGTTGAAGATAATGGTAGTTGCTAATGTCCTTATCGGTATAGTTGTGTCTTAACATCATTTTGAAAGGGAAATCTTATGAGTTGGTTATTCCTTAGGTACATGAGTACTTAGTATAACCTAACAATCATGTACAATCAGTGTATTGATTATCTAGTGTTGCATAACAAATTACCCAAAACTTTGTCTTAAAATAGTAATAATCATTTATTATCTCACACCATTTATGTGGGTAAGGAATTCAGAAATGGCTTAGCTGGGTGGTTCTAGCTCAGGATCTCTCATGCGATTGCAATCAAGATGTTGGCTTGGGCTGCAGTTATTTGTAGGCTTGACTGGGGCTGGAAGATCTGCTTCCAAGATGGCAAGTTGACACTGACTGTTGGTAGGATGGCTCAGTTCTTAACCATGTGGATCTCTCCATAGGAGAGTTTCTGTGTTCTAATGATATGACAGATGGCTTCCCCCAGACCAAGTGATCCAAGGGAGCAACGCTAAATGCAGTCCATTATGTCCTAGACTCAAAAATCACACATCGGGACTTCGCTGGTGGTGCAGTGGTTAAGAATCTGCCTGCCAATGCAGGGCACATGGGTTCGATCCCTGGTCCAGGAAGATCCCATATGCCACAGAGCAAGTAATCCCGTGTGCCACAACTACTGAGCCCGCGAGCCACAACTACTGAGCCCGCATGCCACAACTACTGAAGCCCATGTGCCTAGAGCCTGTGCTCCGCAACGAGAGAAGCCACCACAATGAGAAGCCTGTGCGCCACAACTAGAGAAAGCCCACACACAGCAACAAAGACCCAACACAGCCAAAAATAAATAAATAAAATAAATTTTAAAAAAGAAATCACACATCATCATTTCTGCAATATCCTATTGGCTACACATTTTACCATGTAGGAGGGGACAACACAAGGACATAATACTGGGAGGTGAGGATCACTAGGAGCCATATGGGGCTGGCTTACCACAACTGAGTAATAAGATTTGAATACCTATAGTATTAATACTTGATGATGTTATAATAAGAAGAAAATAACATAAAAATTACTTATCCAAGCCATTACCTAATGGTCAATTACCTACTTACCTAATATGTTCTTCCTCCCCTATTCAATTCACTGAATCTGATTTTTTTGAGATGTACTTGAGTTTACAACAAATTCGAGAAGTTCTGTTTAGGAAATGCCAAATCCTCAAGCAATAAAGAAATCCATAAATTATGATTCAACTTACTGTGTTTGATAGTATAACCAACATAGCATTTGGAGTTACTGATTCACTAATCCCACCTTCAAAATATTAAAACTGACATCAAAATGGTGACTATAA